ATCAGTTTGGATTCAGACGCCATAGACGCCATAGCCACAGTCATCTAGAGAAAGTATTGCATTTCTTCATTTAGACATCTTTAAAGCTATAGAAAATAATGAAGAATTAATTAGTATATTCTTTGACATTGTTGGTGCATTTAATAACGTTAATCTTCATGTACTCGCTACAGAGTTGAGGTTTTTGGGCATTCCTGAAAAAATTGTAAAATGGATATTTAACTTTTTACATGAAAGAAGAGTTTTTGTTAAAGTTAATAATAATAAGACAATTATTGGACCTAGGTTCAGTTATAAAGGTGTTTGTCAAGGAGGAATATTTAGTCCTCTTGTCTTTATTTTATACATATTTAAATTAAATAATATTTTAGGATCAAATCTTATTTACAATATGCAGATGATTTGGTCATATATGCCCCAGGAACAAATGTCAAAAACGTGGTAACCATTTTAAATGAGGCTTTAAAGAAATTGCATATTTCTTTAATTCTTGCCGCCAAATTTCACGAACGCACATCGCGGAAGAACTCCCTATACCATCCACACCATCTGGATGATTGGCGCTCCACCACTGTGCGATTTAGAAGATGTTTTCTTCCTCGCACAACTTCCTTGTGGAATAGTTTACCACCAGCGATTTTTCCGGACCGATACGACTTAGGGACCTTCAAGAAAAGAGCCTACTCCTTTTTGAAAGGCCGGCAACGCATCTGCAATTCCCCTGGTGTTGCGGTTATTAATGGGCAGCGGTAGTCATTTACCATCAGGTGAGCCGCATGCTCGTTTACCCCCTCTCCTATAAAAAAAAAGAAAAAAAAACTTTTCACACTTAAATTTGGATATTAGTACTGAGAAAAGTAAAGTTGTAATATTTAATAAAATTCATTCATTTAACACTAGAATAATTTATAATAATACTGTTACGCGCCACTATTAATGTCTTGTACATGGCAACACTAGTTACACTAGCGCCCTCTAGTGTCGAGTAAAAGAAAGTGTTGCGCGCCACTATTAATGTCTTGTACATAGCAACACTAGTTACATTAGCGCCCTCTAGTGTCGAGTAGAAGAACTAGGAGAGTCGAGATCCTTCCAGAAATTTCGGGACCGATATGTACTCGAACATTCTAGATGTCGCTACAGTGGAAGGTTCTGGAAACTGTCTGAGGCCCTATATAAGGCCGGTATAGACCACGACCGGGGCAGTATTGAATTGGTGATACAAGAGAATACTTCGAAGCGAAATAACGGCGAACTGTGTTTTATTATTAGTGTGATTTTAGATAGTAATTAGTGTTGTGTAATTAAATTGTCAATTTTGGTAATTCAATCGGCAGTTTTTAATTGTCTCGAACCCCAAGCTCGTAACAATACATTTTTACCAATAGAAAGTTGTGCGAATTTCTTAGGTGTGATTTTTACAAATAATTTATCTTGGACCAAATCATCATCATCATCATTACAGCCCTTCACAAGTCCACTGCTGAACATAGGCCTCCCCCAAAGAATGCCACAAAGCTCGGTCCTGAGCCACCTGCATCCATCGACTTCCTGCATATCTTACCAGGTCGTCACTCCATCTAGTGGGGGGACGCCCTACACTTCGCCTGCCGGTACGAGGCTGCCACTCGAGAACCTTTCTTCCCCATCGGTTGTCGGTTCTTCGAGCTATATGGCCGGCCCATTGCCACTTCAGCTTACTAATCCGTTGGGCTATGTCGGTCACTCTAGTTCTACTGCGGATATCCTCATTTCTGAGTTTATCACGCAGAGAAACTCCGAGCATAGCCCTCTCCATAGCTCGCTGAGCGACCTTGAGCTTCCTCATCCGGCCAGCAGTGAAGGACCACGTCTCAGTTCCGTATGTCATCACTGGCAACACGCACTGGGTGTACAGTCTCGTTTTCAAGTTTTGAGGTATACCTGACGAGAAGATGTGCCGTAATTTCCCGAACGCTGCCCAACCGAGTTGAATCCGTCGATTGACCTCTCGGTCGAAGTTGGACTTACCTAGTCGGACTATTTGTCCCAGGTAAACATACTCGTCAACAACTTCGAGCTTAGTGTTCCCAACAACTACCGGCATAGGTGTGACATGGACATTAAACATGATCTTTGTTTTGTCCATGTTCATCTTAAGACCTATCCGTTGGGAAACACTATTGAGGTCATTGAGCATAGTGCTTAGGTCCTCCAGCGATTCTGCCATAAGGACTATATCGAAGGTGAGTGATGTACTCGCCATTGATGTTGATACCGTATCCTTTCCAGTCCAGAAGCTTGAAAACATCTTCCAATGCAGCGGTAAAGAGTTTCGGGGATATGACGTCACCCTGTCTTACACCTCTCTGCAATTGGATAGGTTTCGTACTCTGGTTCTGTACTCGGATAGCCATCGTAGCCCTACTGTACAAGCACTTCAACACTTCGATATACCGACAGTCAACTTGGCATCGCTGAAGGGACTGCAGCACCGCCCAAATTTCGACGGAATCAAAGGCTTTCTCATAGTCCACATACGCCAGACATAGTGGCAAATTGTACTCCTCGGACTTCTGTACAATTTGCCGAAGGGTATGTATGTGGACCAAATACGTGAATTATATTTCAGACAGAGCTTCTAAGGCCTTTAATGTATTAAAAGCTTTGGCTACTACTATCTTGGGAGCTGATTCAGAAATATTATTAATGTTATATAAGTCTTTGGTGAGGAGAGATTTTGAGTATGGCTTCCTTTGTTTTGCATCAAATAAAAAACTAGTAAACAAATTAGATATTATACAAAATAGGAATTTAAGACTTATTACCGGCTCTATGATAACAACTCCTATTGTTTCTTTACAGGCTGAATGTCTTACTCCTCCAATCTTACTTAGGTTTAAATATCTGAAATTTAGGTTTTTATTAAATATTAATTCTTTGTCTTATCATTCTCTTTTTCAAAAAGTATTATTTTACTATAATAGTATGTCTCCTATATCTAACTCAGCCCCATATATACTCCAAGACTTTCATGAAGTGATACGATATGATGAACAATATAATATTCACAAAAGCACACATACTTGGCCTTGTTATAAGGGGAATTATGAAAGTAAATTCAGTGGTATACACATAAATATTGATGAAAAATCGAAAAGAAAAGAAGAGGTTTATGAACTTATATTTACATATGATGAATATCGACAAATTGACACAGATGGTTCAAAAGTTGAAAATAAAGTAGCCTGTGCATTTTACATACCTTATCTGAAAACTGGACGTGGCCTTTCCATTCCTGCATCAGCAAGCATATACACTGCTGAATGTTATGCTGTCTTCATCGCTCTTAAATATATAGAAGAACACCCACATGTATCTAATAAATGGTTACTGATCTCTGATAGCATGAGTGTCTTGAAGGCACTGAAGGCAAGAACTTTAGATGCTAAAACGTCTTTCATCATATATGAAATCAAAAGTTTGTGGTGGAAATTGAAACAAAACAATTTGGAAGTAAAATTTTTATGGACTCCGTTACATATTGGTGTTCAAGGAAATGAAAGCGCAGACCATTTAGCTAAAAGTATAGTTAGGCCGGCCACATACATACGGAATTCCGTTTCGAGATTCCGTTTCGATATTCCGATTCGAGATTCCGAACGCAGCAAGTTCATATAAAATCTATTGCCCGTCAAACACGTACGGTATGTTTCCGTTCGAAATTTTGCGGGCAAAACGGGATTCCTTATGTGTGTGGCCGACCCGTTCGGAATTCCGAAACGGAATCTCGAAACGGAATTCCGTATGTATGTAGCGGGCCTTACAGCTGATATTGACAGGATACCGGTGTTGCAATACCACATACAGATTTATATTCAATTTTAAAGCAAAAGTAAAAGAAGAATGGAAAACGCAATGGAATGCTGTTTTAGATGCAGAAAAAGGTCGTTGGTATGCATCAATTAATTCAGAATTAAGTATTCCTTGGTTTTCTCGAAACGAGAGATACCATAGCAGAAAATTTTATACAATAATGGGCAGACTTAGATTTCGCCACTATCGATTGAACGCTCATCTTTCCAGGATGAGAATAGGAGCATCTGCAACATGCAACTTCTGCGATACAGAAGCAGATCAGTCTGCAGAATATAATATAATATTTAACTGCCCAGCGTACGCCATAGAAAGATTGCTACTCATTGAAAAACTTATACAAGTTTATGAAAACTCAGAAAGCGTCCCGAGTGTCCTGCAAGATGTTCTGAGGAATACTAAGACATATTTAGCACTTTGCAATTTTATTCATAACTAGCTGTTCCACGCGACTTTTTTCGTGTGTTAGGGTTTTTATGGTTTTGCGCGGAACTAATTCTAATTCTTTTTCTAAAATGAAAGTAGCCTAAGTTACTCCTTATGAAATCAGCTATCTACCAGTGAAAGTCCCGTCAAAATCAGTCCAGCCGTTTCGGAGATTACCCGGAACAAATAGACAGACAGACAGACAAAATTTTTAAAAATTGTATTTTAGTTATAGATACCGTATTTACTTTCATATGCATTTAGTAGAAAACTGTAATTTTGACATTACAAACAGACACTTCAATTTTATTTTTTTGTATAGATACTGTAAATAAAAATTTATATATGGTATCCCTGTTTTAGAAAATATTGGTTTGACAAATCTACATGGATTGAAACTTACAAAGATTTTAATATAAAGAAGACTTGGCTTTAGCCTTTACGGTTTTTGAAAATATGAAGAATTAAATAAAATAAGACTTGGCTTCGGCCTTTATGGATTTTGAAGAGATGGAAAGAAGAAAAATAAGACTTGGTTCCGGCCTTTACACTTTAAAATTCTATATATTCAAAATAAAAAAGATGAGGCTGTATGGCTAAGTTCCATTGTCTGCTCTCTCGATCGAATAATAAAAACAACAACAACTGTGTCTGACACTAAAACTAAAACTGACACCTGACAGTTGGACTAGGGAAAAGAGATGGTTCGTGATTTATTTGCGTATGAGTGATTCAGTGATATAAATCCTCTATGTACAAAAATTAATTTCCATGAAAATAATATGATTTGATTACAATTCTTACTCTATAATTAATTATGTAAAGGACACGGGGAATAAGATTGAAAGATGGTATGTATCTTTAAACCATATTACCATAACAATTTCTAGATAATTATTGAATAATTTAGAGTTTAGCTTCGAATTCAAACTTAAATTACTATTTCCTGAAATTAACTTCATTCTTTGAACACAGCATTTATATTGGATATAACTTCATTCTTTGAATAGTACAGCATCTATATTGTAAACAATTGTTGCTGTACCTACTGTGTAACACAAATCTTAAATTGATTTGATTATTTCCGAATATAATCAGATGTAGCACAGCACATTTACCAATACAGCAGGGTTTCAAAAGTGATAAAATATTTTAAAAGTCAATCTTCCAAAAACAATTAAGGTTTTTGTTATATAAATGATGCTTTTAGCATGCTATGGTTAGGTTTTTAGTAACATAGAAAACAATTTATGGAAGCATTTTTTTAAAAGTGTACTTAATGTGGCAAACTGGAATTCATTTTATAAGTCAAGCTTTAGATTGCTATCTTTTTGGTTGGCATAGTAAGAACATTGTTATTTTAGTCAAGAAAAACAATATTTGTGTATACAAGGACTTAGAGCTATCTTTCCATCGAGAAGAATTAGGTTTTCACTTTACAGAAATCTATTTTTAAACAACTTCAAAAAAAGGAGGAGTTCCTCAATTTTTCGCAATCTTTTTTTTTATGTATGTTCGCCGATTACATAAATACGCCTGAAACAATTTGGAAAATTCCTTTTTGTTTCAAAGGATATACTTCCCAGGTGGTCCCATTTAAATTTTATTGAAATTCGTCAAAGAGTTTTTTAAGAAATCAACAATAAATTATATTCGTATTGAAATAGTTTGTACAAAAATTTAAATTTACCATTTTTACAATATAGACTAGTGAGCCGCCCTGGCTTGGGATGGTTTATTTCTGGATCTCAACAACAACACCTACCGGGTCCAATTGTGAATCTAAACCATTCTCTAATGAACGTAATCATACACACAAAATTTCGTGAAAGGTGACTTGTTTCTTAGCTATGTTTCAAGAAAATCTTTTGAGCCGTTTGTAAATCATCAGATCTTTTTGTTTCGTGGGTTTTTTAATTTAGTTATTTGTAATGAAATTATCACAACAATTACTGTTCAAATTTAGAAAAGAGTTACATGTTACAGTTATTGTACAACTGTAGTACTAAACTGTGTTGTATGGAGCCACAATAATACGACTATATCTCTAAATTGTGATGTAACTGCCATAACCTGCTTGAATAAACATCCTGTAACAATGATGTAATTTTATAGGACTTGTATGAAACACTAATTAATACGTTTACGATAAATCATCACTTAAAATATTTTGTTGTTTTTAATTAATTAAAACAGGTTGTATATAGGTAAAGCTGCTTATAAAATATTAGTTTTTTTTTTCCTTTGTTTAATGAATTTTATAAATTTACATTCCTTCAGAACAGTAGAATTTTAAATACCTTTGCTAATGCTATAGACAATAAGGAGGAACTTAAAAAAAGGGTAGAGACAGGAAAACTAGCCTTACAGGAATTACATTCATGTGTTGAGAACTGTAAAAACCGATTTGGTGGAAAGTCGGAACTTGCAACTGAGGATGATTTAAGGTACAACTATTTTCAGTAGTGATTAAGGTGTTGTGTTGGTTTTATTTTCTACAATATACTTATATATTTTTCATTTATTTTTAGAATAGTGCAGCTGTGTGAAAGATGGGAAAAAATACTTAGTCATGGTATACGAACAAATTTGTCAAATTCTACAATACAAAATCTAGTTTCAGCTGGATTAAATTTTACTTTCAATATTATTAATGTTGGTGAGAATGGAAATTATGTAATTTTATTATTAACGTAAATAAGGATTTGAAGTTTGCTTGTTATAAATAAAGATTTAAATTTTTAGGAAACTCTCTTTGGAGCTACAGCTGTCTTCATTTGACAAAACATGAAAAAGAGAGGTTTAAAATTCTGGCAAATATCAACACCCCTTTAGGTTATTTCAGAGCATTTATACGGGCAGCTTTAAATGAGAGGTCATTAGAGAGGTAAGAGTACCTAGGTATATGCATCCATGTTGCAGACAAAAGTAATGAAGAGTTATTTATAATTTAATTTAAATTAACATTATTTTATTTTGGAATATTTCAAGTGAAGTCAGCTTGTGACATATTCCACCCATTGTTTAAAGTTGGTTGCAGATGGTCACCTGCAACCAACTTAGGGCTGTAGTAGCCACTTACCATCAGGCGGTCTATTAGTTTGTGTGTAACTTCAATTTTATATAAAAAGTCTCAGGTAACCAAAAAATTATTATAATTATACAATAAATAACATGATTAATAATTGGTGTTAAAAATCAACATTAGGTGATCATGCTTGTGTATTTATTTATACATAAGTTAAGTTTATATGTATATCAAAAATTAGACTTTTATGCACTTTTGTTTACACTATGTGTGCAACTTAGCAGAGTTAATCACTCTGCAAGTTTTAGCAGGATAAGTAAGTTATGTGCACTCCATTATTATAGCTGCAAACATGAAAATAAATATGCACTGTTTACACTATGTAGATTATCAGTACCAAGTTATTGAAATTGGACAATTAGTTTCAGAGAAGATAGCTATAACAATCACATTGAATTCTAGGTTAAGAGGGCTATGTTACACTGTTATGGGTGTTACCCATTAAATTTTCCAATTTATTGGCACTCTTCTAAGGAGTATATCATTATATAATACATGTGTTAGTGTCCCTTCCTTATAATGTTATTGTGAACTGCCAGAAATATGTCTCCACAAGTTAAGGGAATCAATTTTGAGCATGAAAATGAATGCTTAGTATTTTCATGGCATTTTTGTTCGAGTAATGTGATATATTATACAAATCATTCATTCAAAAGTATGTTGTATAATTGGTTTAAAGAATATGACGACAATCAATGTGAAAACTTAATAGCTCCATACAAATAACTTTGTGTGCAGTGCAACAATCACGCTACTCACACACACCCACACCGCGCGCGCGTATGTAGTGTTAAACTGAGTATTAAGTAATATATCAACATTTCCTAATGTATTGTCGACACAAAGTGTTACTGAATGAGAAGGAACTGACTCCTAAAATACAGGGTATCCTTGTTTAGGAGTCAGGGCTCAATGATGTTGTATGAAATAGAAGTGTCAAATAAAGATATTTATTATTATTATTATGAGGGGTATCTATATAGTTTCTCATCTGGTTGAGCTGTATAAATATATAATTGTAAATAAAAATGATAAACATACATAAATACCAACAAAATAAAATAAATTTATTATTATTATATGTTTTTTATACCACAGTGTCATTATAATGCCATTAAATACTGTTTTCAATATTCAATTAATGGTGTAAATGATTTATTTTTGTTTAGATATTTACAAAGTTGGATCACTCATGGACTTTTATCGGAATATTATGAAGAAGGTGCTATAGTCAGAGCTACTGAAGCTAGTATACTTCCTGATATGGCAGCAGGTAATTTTATAAATAAAATATGTATGTGCTCTTTATCAAGTTTGAAATTCCACCCATACATATTATTTCAGGGTTATCAACAGTTTTGTTTGCATTATCAATAGACAGGGCAGAGTTAAATGAATCACAACAAGGGAATCAAATGACGAAAGCTGAACATGTTATTCCACTACCTACTCCCATTAAAGCATCTGGCAACGTGAAAAGGAAACCATTGAGACAAGTTATATCATTTGATAAAGAACAAAGTAATCAGAGAATTTCAAAGAAATATCCCATACTTCACGCTTCTAATACATTGTGGAACAGTGCACCACCCAGTTGTCTCAATTCTCCAGATCCTGTAATTGTTCCACAAACAACCTCCATTAGTGAACCAACAACCTCAGAATGTAAAAGTGGAAAACGTCATTTCTTTCCTGACAGTGTTAAAGGAATTGATAGCCCCTCACAAATTCTCACGAAGTTGTCCGAGTGTGCTAAAGAAATATTCTCGTCCTCTAGTAGCATAGACAAAAATAATTTATCCAAAGAAGACAATGTTTCTGAATTAAGTGTTAATTGTTTAAGAATTTCTGAAAGTGATAGTGAAGAAATTGCTGGCAGTATTGATGGTAGCACTTCCTGTTTGGAACTATGTTTCACAGAAGATGAAGGGGTTTTAGATGAAAAGAGAGTTGTATCTGTTTTGGAGTGCAGAGAAAAAGAGTTCATTAACTTGCAATCAAAATTCAATCAATTTGAAATAAGTAGCAAAGATAAGATACAGAAATTGGAAAAAGTAGTTTTAGACCTTAGCAAGTAAGTATTAGTAAGAAGCATTTATTAGGGAATATAGTCTTTGAATCACTGATGATTCCAGGCTTATTTTAATAGCAAGAATTTCATAGACCAGCAGGGAGCACCATCGAAGTCTGAGACACCTGCCCAGTGTGACGATTATGGCGAAATTTCCCTACATATGAGCTCTTGTCCAGAAGTATACTGTTTACGGGCTGGTGCAGAAAGTAATAATTTCCATGGAACCAAAAGCTGCACAGAATTGTGAAAAGAAAGAAATATTTGTTTTGCAACACAATAACCACACAAAACATTGATACTACGTATATCAATGTTTGGTATGGATTGTGTATTGATATATTATAAGCAAAATAATAGTGTGGTAACTTTAACGGTGGTAGAGCCACGCAGCAGTTTTTGCTGTTGCACGTATGGGCCGGCTCGAGCCGGGTTGGAACCACGACCTCACAGAATACCGGCGTGAAGTAGAAGCTCTGCTTCTGCGTTTCGTCTGGTGAGTGCAGGCGGCCGGAGGCCCAATCCACCCCCCCCCCCCCCCCCCATCAACATGGTAGCGGAATTACATGATAGACTACCCCAGGAGGGTATCAGTACCCCTGGAGAATCCCTCGCTGAACATCCACGACCATGTTATTCCGATCCTGAGCGTGGGTGCTCTCGAGACGGCGAAGCCGGCCTTGCTCTTTCTGACCGAGACGCAGGTTTCCTCTCCGGCTGATATTTCGTATCTCTCCTACCCGGGATACAAATTGGAGCACTCCTTTGTGCCTCGGGCTGGAGTTTGCGTGTATGTCAGAGAGGACATCTGTTCACGACGCCTCGGCAGTCTTGAAGGTTCGGACCTGTCCATCCTTTGGCTACGCGTAGACAGCGACGACCATCCGCGCGTCTACGGGTGCCTCTATAGGTCCCATAGCGGTAATGCCGAAACAGACCGACTCATCGACCACGTCCAAATGGCTACAGATTCCTTGCTACAACAGGTCCCATCCGCAGAGATCGTGATCCTTGGCGATTTTAACGCCCACCATGCCGAATGGCTCGGTTCACGTTTAACCGATCATGCGGGGAGATCTGTTTATGACTTTGCCTTGGCATATGGTCTGACACAACTGGTTACATCGCCTACGCGGATTCCAGATGTTGAGGATCATACACCTTCCCTGTTGGACCTTCTGCTGACCTCTCATCCGGACGGATATCAGGTTTCCGTCGATGCCCCTCTTGGCTCTTCGGACCATTGTCTGATCCGGAGTGTGGTGCCACTCACTCTCCCCTCGCGGTTGCGTTCTGCAGGTTGCCGCCGTGTTTGGCATTACAGGAGGCGGATTGGGACGGAATGCGGTCTTTGTTTGCTTTCTACCCATGGGTTTGCTTCTCGCCGGATGATCCCAGCGCTGTTGCTGACTCTGTCACTGATATGGTGCTACAGGGAATGGAACTTTTTATTCCATCATCTGTGGTACCCATCGGAGGCAGATCTCAGCCTTGGTTTGGTCGCTCCTGTAAGATTGCATTACGCAGTAAGCAGGAGTGTTATCAAGCCTGGGCTGCGGCTTCGGCGACTCGGGATGTAAACACCAGCACACTTAAAAAGAAGTATAACTTCGCCTCCAGGTCCTTCAAAAGAGTTATTGCCAAGGCAAAGTCAGAGCACATAGGCAGAATTGGCGAGAAACTAGTTCGTCTTCTTTCGGGAACCCGTGCATTATGGTCTCTCGCCAAGGCTGTCCAAGGGAATTTCTGTAAGCCATCACTACCATCTCTGCACAGGGAGGACGACTCACTGGCCCACGACGCAAAAGAGAAAGCCGACCTTTTAGGCTCCCTATTTGCGTCCAACTCGACTGTTGATGACGGGGGGGAACACACCGCCCGCCATCCCGCGGTGTGAGTGCTCCATGTCGGATGTGCGGTTCTCACAGCGCTCGGTTCGCAGAGCACTCCTCTCCCTTGACATCCACAAGTCGAGTGGGCCTGACGGAATCCCCCCAATTGTGCTGAGGACGTGTGCTCCGGAGTTGGCACCGGTTCTAACGCGTCTCTTCCGGTACTCCTACTCCCTAGGCGTAGTCCCGAAATCATGGAAGACAGCTTTTGTCCACCCGATCCCTAAAAAAGGCGACCGCTCAGACCCGTCCAACTACAGGCCTATCACCATCACCCCCTTGTTCTCCAAAATAATGGAATCCGTTATAATCTGCCACCTCATGCGGTACCTTGAGGATCACCAGCTGATTAGTGACCGCCAGTACGGTTTTCTTCGGGGTCGATCAGCTGGTAATCTTCTGGTCTACTTAACTCATAGATGGGCGGAGGCAGTAGAGTCCAAGGGGGAGGCATTGGCCGTTAGTTTGGACATTGCGAAGGCCTTCGATCGGGTTTGGCACAAAGCGCTTCTTTCGAAGCTCCCTTCCTATGGGCTTCCCGAGAAATTATGCAATTGGATCACCAGCTTTCTTGCAGATCTAAGCATCAAGGTCGTTGTAGACGGTGCATGCTCCGACTACAAGCCTATTTACGCTGGTGTTCCACAAGGCTGCGTGCTATCACCAACGCTGTTTCTTCTGCATATCAACGATATGTTGCAAGCCGGTAGCATTCATTGCTATGCGGATGACAGCACTGGTGATGCTCTATACACCGGCCGTGCCATTATTTCTTGGGAAAACGTCACCGAGTACCGGAATAAACTTGTGTCTGAAGTCGAGTCTTTGCTGAACAAAGTCTCGGATTGGGGGCGACTAAATCTAGTCCAGTTTAATCCTCAGAAGACACAAGTTTGCGCGTTTACCGCTAAAAAGAACCCCTTTGTCGTATCTCCTCAGTTTCAAGGCAATCCCCTTCTTGCCTCAGCCAGTATCGGTATCCTCGGAGTCGACATATCGAGTGACGTGCAGTTTCGTGGTTACTTAGAAGAGAAGGCCAAATTGGCCTCTAAAAAGCTTGGCGTGCTCAGCAGAGCGGGACAGTATTTCATGCCGGCACACCGCCTGCAACTTTACAAGGCGCAGGTTTGGCCTCACATGGAATACTGTTCCCATCTCTGGGCAGGGGCTCCCCAGTGCCAGCTTCTTCCACTTGACCGCATCCAGCGCAGAGAGGCTCGAATCGTCGGCGACCGAGCCCTTTCCGATCGGCTCGTTTCATTGGCACTGCGAAGAGATGTTGCATCCCTTTGCATTTTCTTTCGTATCTACCATGGGGAGTGCCCTGAGGAATTGTTTGGATTAAACCCAGCCGCCAAATTTCACGAACGCACATCGCGGCAGAACTCCCGATACCATCCACACCATCTGGATGATTGGCGGTCCACCACTGTGCGATTTAGAAGATGTTTTCTTCCTCGCACGACTTCCTTGTGGAATCGATTACCATCAGCGATTTTTCCGGACCGATACGACTTAGGGACCTTGAAGAAAAGAGCGTACTCCTTTTTAAAAGGCCGGCAACGCATCTGCAATTCCCTCCCTGGTGTTGCAGTTGTTCATGGGCGGCGGTAGTCATTTACCATCAGGTGAGCCGCATGCTCGTTTGCCCCCTCTCCTATAAAAAAAAAGTGTGTGAGAAAACCTTATTATTCATTAATGCTTACCTTATCCGCGCAATCGAGTGCGAAAAATATTTGCGATATTGGAAAATGGCTTAAATAAAAATTGAAGATCTATTAATTACACGTAAAAAGGTCGAAACTTTTCTATCGGTATCCCCTATTTTTTTTAGTTTTGATTTTTTTATTTTACAAAAAATCATGCATGCGTTTCAGATAAAATATAGATTCGTTCACGCCTGGAATTATCCTCTATCTGTTACTAAAGTTTCGTATTCAACAATTTCGAATATTACCAAGTCGGTTAGCCAAAAATTTTAAAAATGTTTATTCATGTCTTAACAGCATGCAAATAACCCCTTATTATAGAAGACAGTTATTTCGATATTAGATACTGCCAGGCACTTATTTAAGACTATTGTGTTTACATTATGCGCCTGACATTTCGAGTTATTTGCAACAGCCTTGGTCACCTTAAGCTGTTAAATATTAGTTTTTTCTACACATAATGTGCTCAAACTATCTTTAAGTCTAGAAAAATGATTCCCAACCTATTAGTGTCCTATAAAACAACACTATTTCCTGCCCAGAATGATTGGAGTGTTTAATGCTGGGGCCACACTAACGAAAAATGCCGTTAATTATCGCGTTGATGGACGTTGAATAGGTGTGGCCACGACTTACGCGTTAATTTGACAACGACGTTAATGCCCGGGCCACACTAACGAGAAATGCCGTTAATTATCGCGTTAATGGGCGTTGAATGTAGGTGTGGCCACCACTTAATGCGATAATTTTACAACGCCATTAACAATGCCGTTTGCCGTTGGGCGATAACTCGAGTGGCGATACATCAAAGAGATTAACGCACGATTTAATACGTTGAAGCGACCACACTACGTTTGCCTCATTGTGTACGGTGACCGCAACGCGGTCGCACGTATGGCCATGATAGAGTGGAATATTGAAAAAGTTATTACGTTTCTTGAGATTCTGCAGAGCCATGTTTGTGGGATCCGAAACTCTAAAAGTTATAGGAATCGTATATCGCAAAATGATGCTAGGCGATATGCACTTACCTTTTAAAACAACTATCGAAGAAATTAAAAAGATGAAGAAAAGCCTAATGGGTTATTATAGTGTATTTGTAGCATCCACCATCTTCTTTTTCTTTGTATTCTTTTTTTCTTCGTTTGGCAATGGTAAAATATATTCATATAATAAAAATTTACACTCATCAAATATAGAGTAGCAGCGTCAACGTCCATCTTGCTTGAATTTCAAGGAACATTAACGCCAACTCACAACACCGTTCAATAGCATTGAAATTGAAATGATGTTGACCGTTCAAGTGTGGCCACTCACTTTATCGCGTTAAAATTAAAGCAATAATTGTTGCGTTTATGGGCATTGACGTTTCCCATTACTGTGGCCCCAGCATAAACTAAAGTAATTTTTAGACACTTTGCTGCCCTGAATGAAGAAAATAGAAACAATATAATACTTTTAGTCAGTTTAATAGTTTATAATAATCAGTGAGCGTGATGTGTGATAAACTGATTGGTAATACTATTTTTTTAGAGAAAACGAAAGATTAAAGAATCAATTGCGGAGATATATGTCAGCTGTGGAAATTGGAAAAAATTTAAAAAATGGCGATGAACACGAAGAAGAAATTAGCTCATATGAAAGAAAACTTGTTCAGGTATGATAAGTATGTAGTGTATTTATTGAATTTTACATTACATAAACAGTCACGCCTGTCACCCAGAGGGGTAGGCAGAGATTACGGACTTCCTTTAGCACAATCTTGACACACACATCTCTTGCCTCCTTTATATCCATATACTTACGCATATATGCTCGTCGGTGAAGGGTACTCTTAATCTAGCCCATCTTGAAAATATTTGGCCGTTAAACTTTCGTCTAGGGCGTCCCTTCCCGAGGGGATGAGTCGCTCGGGTCCTTAGGCTTCAATCACCTAACCCTAAGCCCACGCTACATGTGTCCCCCGGGTGGTGGTTATTGAGCGACAAAGCCAAAAGGACAGACTGCTCTTCGCCGCGTGATAGCGGCCGAAAATCTAGCACCCCCTATTTCGCACCATGAGGCAGAAAATAAAGGAAATGGCCCCGAATTCTCGGCGCCCCTTTAATGGGGTACAAAAAATCTCCGGGAGTAAAACCAAAGTCCGCCACCCATCACGTTCTGTCTCCCGGAGGGGCGAGAAGGAGATTGCGGAAGATAGCCCGTCTGGCTAGGCTGAATGTATTATTGTATATTGTATATAGATATTTATTTTTTGTTTCAAATAAATCCTTATAATCGCATAGAAAATTTCACTTTATGAATTCGTAACCGATCTTTACACTGTAAAATATACTCTACTTTTAAAAGATCTAGACGATTACAACTAAATATTATGTTAGTCTAAAGTTCATAGTCATTCTGTAATAGGACTATGGTCGTGACACCAAGTTAGATTGGACAGTTATAGGCAGTGGACATGCTGTATCAATAACTTTTATGAGCTGTAAATTTTTCCATAGAAATTGTTATCACCTTATACAATAAGTATATGCACCTCCCACCACCCACGAGAAATCATGACGGTCAGCTGCACTAGCTGTGGTAGGAAGTGCACTGAATTTTTATTACGCTGGTTACTGTGTGTATGTGTGCAAATATTTTTACAAATCTTTGTCGTTGTTTGAGCTATGAGGTGTGAATATCGCACATACATATTTACTCTAACACAACAATTTGCGAACCTATATGCACACACTCTTACACATTTGAACGATGTACGACAAAAATGGTTTTATTAGTGCAGTTTGGCCTATTTAACCTGAGTTTCTTTATAACAATATGCTGAACAGAGCAGGGCGTGAATCGCAGACTGAATAAAAGACAGACAGAACAAAGACGACAAGGTTCTCGCGTATGTACTTCAAAAACGGTCACACATCGCCATAATATGACAAATGGTATCCAAACTGCAAGGCCTTAACGCAAATACTTTCCTACACTTGTGCATTTGTTTTATTACATTTAAGTGACAAACAAACTAACAGTGCATTTGACGGTAAGTGGCTACTGCAGCTTATGAATACGTGTAGATGACTTCAAACAAAATGCTACGTAGCCTGTTTATAGTCTGTTATTAAACTAGTACTACGCAGTTTCACACAATACTAGATACACTGCTGCTTGGCAGCGGAAATAAGTTGTAAGAGCTCATAGTCTACCTTATTTTAAGTGTACGCTATGGCCCATACATCTATCGTCAATTAAGAACAGAAATGCAGATGCGTTGTTACCCCCGAGGACTAAGATGGAACACCTCGTTACCAGTAAAAAGGGGCTCCGGTTCTCTACACTCATCATATGAAACAAGGCTGCATAAAATTCTGCTGTTGTAGTTGTGTGAGTATTTGCCCTTACCCCGGTCGAGCGTGATTCTATCACGTAACAAATGGTAAAATTTAAAATTTTGTACAACCGACTTCAATATAAATTATTAAGGATAACTCAAAAACTACTGGTCAGGCCTTGATCAAATTTATATGCGACCACATGAGTAGCACCATCTTTCAAATAAAAAGAAGCATCAAAATCGGTTCACCTAGAAAAGAGTTATGAAGTTACACACATAAAAAATACAGTCGAATTGAATACCTCCTCCTTTTTAAAGTCGGTTAAAATAGAACTTACCCAGTTCCACTTCTAGACAGAAAAACAATCACACCACTTAATAGACTTTGTAAGGCTCGGTGTGAACTCGTGGTCGGTTTCTTACGTGGTAGAGCCATGGTGCAGCTATATTGTGGTTGCAGCACGAATGTGTCGGCTCGTCCGGGGTGAGACCACGCTCTCACAGAATACCAGCGTAAAATACTTTAATGCTGCTGTGTTTCGTATAGTGAGTGTAGAGAACCGGAGACCCTTTTTACTGGAAACGAGGTATTCCATCTTAGTCCTCAGGGATGACAACGCATCTGCATTTTGATTCTTAATTGAGAATAAACTTAGATGTCAATGGGCCACAGCATCCGCTTACCATCAGGTGGACTGTGTGCTCGTTTGTCACCCTTATTCTATAATAAAACTTACGATTTAAATATTATTGTTGTTTAGGTCGCGGAAATGCATGCGGAGCTCATGGAATTCAATCAATATCTACAAAGACGACTTCAAGACTTAGAAAGTGGTTCAGCCCTTGAGATTTTAGATTATCCCGAGTCGAATGTGAAAGTTTACATGCCAAGTGCGTTTTTGGTTGGAAAGAAAACACATTCATATCACGTCTATCAGGTAAAATGAATATTGATTTATAATTTGTACTTGCGATTGTTGCCACTTTGTCGAACTTCAAACTAAACTAAACTAAACTCTCAGTGATGTATTTACACTAGGGGCACTCGGGGCTAGTGCCCAGGGTGGCTATATTTTTGAGGCCGACAAAATTTGGAGTGTTAGTTGACTGACGAAAGCATGTTCACCAGAAACGGCATTTGGAACCAGCACAATCTGCACCATTGGGCACTCAAAAACCAAAATCCGCTCGTTTGGCGGAATTCAGCCCATCAGTACAGATTTTCGATAAATGTTTGGGCAGTTATTCACCGTGACAACATCATTGGACCCGTATTCATTGATTGGGCTTTGAACGGAGAAAGGTTTGTTAATCTACTAAATGATACGGTGTCAGAATACACAAACAACCTAAACATCCTCCGATATCAACGAATGTGGTGCCAATTAGATGGCGCGCCAGCACACTGTAACAACAACCAGGCAGTGGCTAAATGACATATTTCGTGCACAATGGATTGATAGATTTGGACCTCGTAGGTGGCCAGCAAGATCGTCAGACCTCACGCCACTCGATTTTTTTTCTGGGGGTGCATCAAAGACGATGTGTACGCGGAGAACGTGGATTCGGTGGAACAATTACGCCATCGAATAATAATAGCGTTTGAGAAATTAAGAAAAATGGCTATAAGTCATAATTTATTTTCAAATGTGTGGGAAAATATAAAACGCAGTTTAGCTCTTTGTATCCGCCAACACGGTGGTCTCACTGAAAATAAGAAAATTTAAAATAAAAGCAGTGATTAGTGATGATAGTTATAACTAATAGTAACAAGACAGGGTGATATGATAAGTGTTTGACTAAGCACCTCCGTTGTAGGTACCATGAAGCAAATACAAAGAGGAGACGTTGTAATTAAATTTCACTATATAACAACGCGTGACAATTTGCGGGATGAGGGGATGCAAAGCCCCGCCCACTACACTTTCTACATCTACCGATAAATAGTAAAACTACTCGAATCTTTCCATATCGATATTGCAATGTAGCTTAGCTACCTTGACGTTAGATGGCGTCATGTCCACAAAATGTTATAAACTATAAAAACAATATATTGGCGATTAAAATTTCTTTATGTCTGAATGCAAAACAAATTTCAGCACCTTCGTATGATTATTTTATCATTACGGAGCTCTACGTACCTTTATATTTTTAGTTCACAGGACACAAAGTGTCGCCATCTAGTGTGGAATATATTTAATTATATTTGAAAGCCGACGCAGAGAGATTTTTTCTAGAACTATTTTAATAAATTAGGTGTAAAATTACTTACAAATAAAATGTGATGCTATCCATAGCATCGGAGCGTCTATCTCATGAAGCAAATACATTCAGACAAAGAAATTTTAATTGCCAAAATAATATTTTTATAGTTTTCATAATAATTTTGGGAACAGGCCGCCATCTATCGTCAAGTAAACCTCATAAAAAATAACAAAACGAGAGGGCCGCAATTAGAATTCAATTATTTTACCCAGTAACCCAACATTCAATATTAAAATGAAGGAAATTGTACTTGGCTGATTTTTACGAAATGTTTAAGTTATATTTAAGTGACATTCTATATGCAAAGAATCACTTAAATACAATTTAAATATGTTTATTATTTCGTGAAAGTCAACCTTCAAGAAATATTTATTTTATCCATAAAATAAAGTCTCTTTGAAACTAAATATTCTATGTTCAATATTAAGTAGGATATTTAATTTGGAACTAAATATCCTACTTATCTCACTAATATTATAAAGGCGAAATTTTGTGTGTTCTTTCTGTCTCCTTGAGCTTATCCCACACTAAGTATGTGTAATTTTTTCACGCAGAAACGGCTGGACTATTATTTATGTGTGGGTTATACTACTTAATATCTGACGGAGAACAAATAATAGACAAATTATTATAATTAATATAATTTTATTTACAAATCAATTAAAATATAAATATTTTATTCCAAATTAGGCATCCGAATGCACTTTTTGAATGCCAATCTAAGAACATTAATTTGTATTTTTTTTATTAATAAGTGATTCTTTGCATATAGAATGTCACTTAAATATAACTTAAACATTTCGTAAAAATCAGCCTAAGTACAATTTCCTGCATTTAATATTAAAAGTTAGATTACTGGGAAAAATAATTGAATTCTAATTAGGGCCCTGTCTTTTTGTCATTTTTATGAGGTTTACTTGACGAGAATACGGCCTGTTCTCAAAATGATTATAAACTATAAAAATAATATTTTGCGATTAAAATTTCTTTATGTCTGAATGCAAAACAAATTTCAGCACCTTCGTATGATTATTTTACCAATACTGAGCTCTACAGACCTTTATATTTTTAGTTCACATGACACAAAGTGTCACCATCTAGTGTCGAATATATTTAATTATATTTGAAAGCCGACGCAAAGAGATTTTTCTAGAACTATTTTAATAAATTAGGTGTAAAAATGTTTACAAATGAAATGTGATGCCATCCATAACATCAGAGCGTCTATCTTAGTAGTTTTTATACAATAAAACACAACACTTCATCCTTTTCTTCTTAATACTACGAAAATGCACTGATTTGCGATTTTTTCCACACATAAGCGCACAGGACGAATGCTGACAGTATACTAACTAAAGCCACGCCCACTATGATGACGTCAGGACCTACTTAGAATCACAGTGCACAGTTGCTTATGCCGTCTCTCCTTTGTATTAGCTTCATGGTAGGTACTCTCCGGCGCCGCTCGGTTTCTTTGATAATAAGCCGTCAAAGAATCGGACCGATTACGAGTAGGTACAAGACGCGCTGCGCGGTTGGCAGCGCGCGAAGCGACGCGTTGCCAGACACGTAGTCTATCCAAATCACAAAAATATTAATATAAATGTTTTGTTTTAATTGTTATAAGATTTTTTTCCTTTCGTGATAGCAAATGTTTCACATACGCCAATTTCATTTACATAATTATCTAGACCCGGTGCATTTATTTGAAGGCCATACAAGTACTTGTTACGTTTGGGATTGGATTTTTCGCTTAGCCACTGTGCTACCAACCCAAAATATCATTACAGTAAAAGTTATAATTTGTCATCATCATCATTACGGTCCTAAGACTACAGTTTTAAAAGAATAGTTACCCACACGAAGATTTTCTTTTGTATAATATGTTTTACATACATAATTTGCACGTGGTTAAACATTCAGACCCTGCGCCAATCTTTGTGCGTCGCACCATGCAAATACTATTTCAAACGCTTGATCGCAGCGTTACCGAGCCGAGATTGCTACAAATCGTGATCTTGAGCCAATTGCATCTATCGAGATGCAATTGGCTCAAGATCAAATATGCATAGCGTCGATACGCTATGCATATTTCGACCTATTGTCACTCTATCTAGTGTAGAGTTTTTTTCTATTCCTTGTCATTTTTTGCAGATATTCCTGAAGGTGGGCCAGGAAGAATGGAACGTTTATCATAGGTATGCAAAGTTCCATGAACTACATACTCAACTAAAAAAATGTCACCCTGACATAGCAAATTATAAGTTCCCACCAAAGAAAACACTAAGGAAACGGGTAAGTTATCCTCTCGAATATACTTTAAAAAAAACTGATTAATTGGTTTTAAAATAGTATTGTGTATTTCATTTTATAGTATACTCTCAGTTTTATGATGTACACACGCCCAGTAGCACCGAATAACAGCGGTACAGTTTGTGCGCGGTGATTTTCACATGCGTCAAAATACGCACTAGACGATGTCACTGCTATATACGACAATAAAACGAGTGCGCGTAGCGAGGTATATTGTGCGCTCATTCGCACTTACAGGTCTCATGGCAACGCATGATGTACATCGTTTATGAAAACTTCATGTAATTAAGTATTCAAATACTAAATTAATAGAAATAAATAATAACTGCTTATTTATAGCAGCAAAACAAACCATATGCACTAATAACTTACGTGAATCATTTGTTATCGTAGCAAGTAAGCGCGTGAGCGTGAGTCACTCACGGCGGGATTATTATCGACAGCGATTGCTTGACGTGTACATCACTACGCCAAATATAATTTATGAGCCCGCCTGTGTATAGATCTGCTTGATGGTTTGAAATGAAGCGCAAGGGCGGTGATACTTATCCCTAGTTCGTTTGATTTGTTGTTCCTTCAGTAGTTCGTGATTGGTGCAAGCATCACACGAGTTTAAGTACATTATTATGTTATTGAAAAAACAATTTTGTGTAAAATAGCCGCACCAAAACAGCCCGTTGCTTAAAACTCGTACCGTCTTCTATAACTGTGGCCACATACAGTATTTATTGGAATGCGCTGAGAAACGCTGCCCTCTTTATGGGCGTAGCTTATTGCTGCAAATATCTACTAAAACACTATTTTATAATGTTTGTTTTCATAATTTTATTGTTTTACACTATTATTTCTTTGCAAGCAAGTAGTTTTATTCTAATTTTATAAAAAAGCTTTTACAAAAATTTACTTCGCAAATCCGTCCGACATAATCCGTCCTTGCCCTCGCGAGGCGCGTATGCATATTTGCGAAGTAAATTTTTGTAAAAGCTTTTATATAATGGATTTCCGCAAAGTAACGCCTGATTCTATTAACTAATTTTATAATTTAATAAAGAAAAATAAAGTATTTCAAACAGGCTTTTGTCCATTGAACTCAATATGTTCTCGTTGATTTTTTTTTTAATTGTTATGATGCAACGTATTAGGTTATAAGTTAATTACATTTTACCACGGCTCCGCTCACGTTTAATTAAAAAACCGAGCAATTTTTTATTGCGCTATCAATGGACTTAAATTTTTTGATACATAAAATATAACATATGTGCTATTCTGGTTTGTTATCTATATTGTCAAGTTTCATCACAATCCGCTTAGTAGTTTTACGTGATTGAGCCAATTCAACCAACTTTTAGATTTATAATATTAGTAGGCTAGTAGGATATTAGGAGAACCCGTTGGGGGTGGGGGGGGGGGGGGTGAGTGACACCACTCTTCTGGTTCTCACCTTGTCGTGGCGGGTGGCTTAGTAGCCGTGGCTTGGTCACCTGCGGTGAACTAAGAGGAACTCTTTGGCTGTGGTGTAGGGCCGGCCCGAGGTGGCCACTCCAAGGGGGCTTGGCGAGCCCACTTCGGATGTGTGTCGGTGGTCTGCGGCGAGAGGGGTGCACACTTCTCCTACCGCTGCAGTCGAGGTGGAGTCGCGGGGGAAGGAGTGTTGGTATGGCGATGCGCCACTCGCCCTATCCTCCGCGACTCTGGCGGGGCCGCACCGCTGATGCGGTGTTAGAGGGGCCGTGGTGGGAGAGGAGTGTCGGTATTGCGAGGCACCGCTCTTCCTACCTTCCGCGGCTGAAACCTGGTTGACGGCGGAGCCAGAGACCAAATCCGCCGCTGGGGTCGGAAAAGCGGGTGCTACCGAGTGCTTAATTTTCCTGGCCTCATGGCCTTCGCGTATCGAAGGGGGGGGGGGCGCGTTACGTAGGTGGAGTTGAAGGCCGTGGGGAAAGCGTGCCTTGTGTTCCTGGTGCGCCTTGCATGAGAAGTCCTCCCCTGAGAAGGGGCTGTCATGGGGCTGCCAGCCCTGGTGGGGCCGCGGATGTGTGCTGTGTGCAATATGCGGCGAAGATGGAATACCATGGGGTTTTAGTCGGTGTGAGTCAGACATAATCCGTCCTTGCCCTCGCGAGGCGCGTATGCATAGGCATTTCCTTATGTAAAGAAAAAGGATGTCATACACAAGTATTTTCAATTTCTTTTTTAACATTTAATTCGCAGGACGCACACTTAGTGGAGCAGCGTAGAGTTGCTCTACAAGCCTACCTTCGCTACATACTTTTGGTGTTGCCCGAGTTGCGTGAATGCACGAGTCGCGCGCAACTTATTACATTGCTACCGTTCTTTGGGTAATTTCTAAATTTTTCTACAATTTCATTAAATTAATATAAGTCCATAAAGTAGTATCTAAAGTTGCCATATGATGCCGACGTAAGAGAAATCATCACCCCATTTCGTTCCTTGATTGTTGTGCTGGCCTAAGAAGCGACTGTGGGAAATGCCGAATTTTATAGCTTCCAATAGATGGTGGTAAAACAAATAAAACACCCAGAACAGCGATTGGCCTGCCAAGCGTAAACGATTAGACCAAATCCTCAATAAAAGAGAAAAGCTCCGAGTAAAGCCTCCCCATAGAGATCCCCAGATCCATATTACGTCATCACTATAGTGCCCGCGTTATCAACTGAGTCATAAGGCAGTAAATCATTGCAATCAGTCTATTTCGCTCGCACTCATTGGGCTTATGGAATCATAATGATGTACGTAACAGCAGGTAGTCGATATCGATAAGATTTAATGAGTGGATTTTTTAAAGTTTGAAATTATGCAATTATATAATCAAAAATATAATCTACATTTATAAATATTTTATTATCTTACAAATTATCTTCTTCATAGTGCGTTTTAGCACACTTACATAAAATTATCACTATTGGTAACTGTGGTTGGTTTTTCAAAACTTTCCCTTGGATCGGCTGGGTTTCCGGATTGCAATATTTCCGTTTTTATTCGATTGACTGTCGCTCTACTAACGCCACAAATAAACTCAACATTTTCCCGTGTTTTATTAAAATTAAGCTGGGATATTTTTTCAAGATCATTTTTCAATTCATTTGAAAACAAAAATATATTGTAAAAATCGAGTTTGCAAGTTAATATCACCTTAATTTTTTGAAATCGATGTTAGAGAATAAATTTTCCATTACGCACAACTGACGAGATCGAAGTGAGAAATAGAAATGAGAAGTGAAAACATATACAGAGGTGAGGTCCTTACCTTATTACCTTGCTAAACAAACAAGTAACGACAAATTCAATTAGCTTTGTCCGCCGCGATAAGGCGGACTCGGGTAGCGAGTGGCGCACAGCGTTGGGACATTCCTATTATTATTGACATTTATGGCCCGACGACTCAGTTGGTAACACGGGCACTATAGCAAGAGTATCCCATGTTGCTATTTGTACACTATTGTTTTCAAGTTTTGTCTGTAAAAATGGATAATAATGATAAAAGGGAAGTTAATTATACAAAAACAACATATCTAGTGTTATATAACAAAAATGTTGCAAGTCAAATATATACAGATAAAAATAGTACACTTGAAACAGGTCAATAATTTTTTGATTATTATATTTTTTGAGAAAATTGTTATTTAAAAAAAATCATAATATTTGCCTAAACTATTAATTAACATATTCTTGCCATTTTATAGGTACTTTAGTGTTTGTTGTAAGTTGTGCCTGGACTTTAACTTGAAATCAAAATGAAATGAAAATTATATATAATTCTCCGGGTATACTTAATGGCAAATTGGGATGGACCGTCTAGTCCATAAATTATTTGTGTACAAGATTTCGATAAATATTTGCTATAAAGGCTCTGTTTTATTGAATTACTAAGACAGTATTCTATCTTTACAGAACTTCATCAACGGTGAAAGAAAATGGCTTAGATAATATACTAGATCGTCCATCGAGCGACTCAATATCTACTTATGATGGACTGTGATGAATCTTTCATTAAAGAAGATAAATGAACTTCTGCAATCATGAAATATTTTCTTTCTTATTGAAAGATTTGATAAAATTAATACGTGAATGTTATATATTAAACTATAATTTAGCACCATGCAATATTATAAAAATATTAATAAGACGCCATGTAGAAACACTTGGTACAAGAAGAAAGAGCTTTATCTCTTACACATACGGGTTGTCGTAGTCTTATAATATTTCTTACCTAAAGAATTTAAAAGTTTTTATTAGTAGATTTTTCATTGAAAATTTAAAACAAATATTTAATTTGCATTGTATATTTATTATGCGTAGGAGCTATTTCATGCGGCATTAGAAGAACCTTCGTGATTTCTCAATTTTTTCTGTAATTTACGCTTAAGAAACGTATATACAACATGTAACAAAAACCCTGTGGTTCCCGTTAAGTACGTTATCAGGATCAGTATTCAAACCAATAGAAATAACTTTTTTTTAAAAAACTCGACTATATTTGTTTTATTAAAAAAAATTATGTGGTTTTATTACCTCTTACTGACACTAGCCGATGCTAAAGCTAAGTAAAGCGGGGTCTTTGACAATCCTCTTACTCCCCAGACAATGCAGAGGTAATAAAATCACACAATTTGCATACAATTATTTTTTTAAATAAAATAAAAAAAAATATTGTTCGAGTTTTAAAAAAAGTTATTTCTATACGTTTGAATAATAATCCTGATAACGTACTTAACGGGAACCACAGGGTTTTCGTTACATATTGTATATATATATTTGACTTTTTAACTAAAACATTCCCTAATATGCCTAATTGCCAATTCAGAATGTTGTGTTAGTCTCTATTTTAATATATGGTGGCGAAAGTTGACGTTTTCAGAAGAAGCATAAGAGTGAAATTAATGATGTAGAAATGAGGTAAAAAAGTATGTTAGAGGGAGTGACAGAATGAAAGAATGAGACAAGTAGAAAGAATTAATGAGGAAAGAGAGACAAATCAGGTTTGTGCTACAGAAGTATGTGACAGAGTCGGCAAAGGTCACCCTAGATGGAGTTTTATCGTCCAAATGTTTGATATATATATATAATAACAAGCAAAATCAAAAGTATCCTTAAACGACGAGCATGTATGCATAGATGATGGGAAAAAAGCGAGGGGTGTATCAAGGTTGTGGCAAATGGATACCCGTAGTCCGTAGTCTATGGGTGACAGATGTGAGAGTAGTTTATGTATGTAAATAAGTAAATGCTAAGGTTCATCCTCAATCCAGAGTGAAAACTATTTGTCACGCCGCTTCCGTTGAAAGAGATAATTATTTTTCATAATATAATTATATTTTTATATTCGAACGCTTTAACCCTTTCAGACCCACGGCGAAACTAAACGAATTAGTGTTAAAAAATAGATATTCTTTATCGTTGGGGATCAGAGAATACAAAAACTGAAGACTTTCAGTTATACAATGTGTTTTCAGGACTTTTCAGGGGGGGCGTACAATTGTATATACTTGGGCCCTACTCATTCCACGTCACAATTGTGTCGATGTGGGCCCAACTCATTCCAAGTCACAATTGTGACGGTCACAATTGTTTTGATGTGGGCCATATTTCTAGCCACTAATAATTGTAATTATATTAATTTATTGCATTTTTTCAAATAATTCTTATAAATTAAGGTGAATAAAAAGATGTGATGTGTTTATTATGTCATTTATTTTATATTGGCTTAATAGTTTAATCTTTCTCTAACTTAAAACCAAGTTTAACATAGAATTAAAGAAATATTATTATTTTAGTTCAACAAACTTTTGCTTAGCATTAACAATAAACTTTATAATCAAATAAACGAAAATATTTTCTTAACCTTAGCATAATAGGAACAACATTTTTTTGTTAAAATTAAAAGAAAAACATACAGTATCATAACATTATTCAGACTTTTCGTTTAACAAGCGTTGTGGAACTTAAAAAAACAATTTTTATCTTTAGTTATACATAAATATACGTCGCATTTCGAACATCTTGCTCGGGTTCTACTGGTGCAATCAGGCAACTTGCATTTGCGAGGAGCTTTCAACGTATCGAACATTGGCCAATGATTGTAGCCATCATATCTTTTCTCAGGTGTCGGCAGTATTGCAGGTTTGTACTCAGAACTAGTCGGTATCGGGGCTAATTCTAAGTCATCGCGAGTCCTTGTTCTAGTCGGTCCACCTAATAAATACCCTGCAATGGATATACGAAATGCCAGCAAGTCCATGACATCATTTTTACGCATATGGGCTTTTCGTGCGTCTTCTCGGTACTCAAACCAGGAGTTTACGATAGCGAGATCAAAGAGATGAATTATGACCTTTACAGTCCACTTCTTGGTTTTGAACCACGTCCTATAGTTTTGAATGATCTGGTCGCACAAGTCTATGCCTCCCATGTTGTTGTTGTAATTGGCGACGATGGAAGGACAAGGAATGTTCTTGTAAGTACGTGTTTGTTTGTCCCATCGACTTACAGTAGTAATCGTTGAAGCCAGCAAAACACTTTTGTTATCTTTCCACTTAACCGTGCAAAGTTTTCCATTTGGATTACAAACTTCTTCGCAATCTCCTCGTTTCATCGCTTGATCCTTCTTGAATGTATACCAGGTTTTTTTGAATCGGTTTGCCATTATCGTACCCGTTCCATCGAAATTGCGATTAATTAGTTCTTCCAGTAAACCAATCGTTGTAAAATAACGATCAGAATATAAACTTCCACCAGGTAATGTTGTTGTCAATCGCAAAACAACCGCAGGACCTAAGCCAAATGACCTATCAGGTAAGTCGGTGGTTGGGCCTTGATATATCTCAAAGTCCAGGGTCAATCCTTGTGCAGTCGTAACTAGGAAATTTTTCAATCCAACTGGCCTAGGCTTGTTTGCTACACACTGTCTCTGTGCGCACCGACCTGTGAATGGTATCATCTGTTCATCGACAGAATAAGTTGGACTCTCGCGTGGCAATGCATGGCAGCGTTTTCTAACTGCATCTATGACTGCTTGCACTTTCCACAATTTATTAGCAAAGCGTCCATTTTCGTCAACTCTGTTAGGATCAACTACATGTAAATTGACCCGTAACATAAAAAAGCGCTCACGTGACATAGCATTAGCTATTGGATCGTATCGAAATTTTTGATGCCAATACATTTTCATTCGAGGGCATTTAATGCAACTCATCATCCCGTGAACTCCAAAGAATTTTTTTATTTCATTAGGTATACATTGCGGCCTCATTTGCTGTCCTTTTTTTCGCAAACTTTTCAAACAGTTCGGCATTAAAATAATTTTCGAAGTACTCCGCAGGTGATTTGGGCGGTTCATTACTTGAACTTTCTTGAGCTTGACTAGTAGTCTTCCCTCGAAATCTTTTTTTCGTCCATTTGCCATCACTTTGATTGGTAGCCGCCCTCAAAGATGAGAGTGGGACATCATCCTCGGAGGATTTATTATCTTCATCATTTTGCGCATATAAGTTATCATCATCTTCATCATTTTGCGCATATAAGTCATCAACATCTTCCAAGTCAGACTGTTCCAGTAACTCCCCAATTGCGTTGTCATCGAGGCTAAATAGCGATTCCGCCATGGTAATGTACTATGTAGTCGGGCCCGGAGCATAACGTGAGAAATACATAATTGTATGGTAATTTTGATTACTCACGCGCAGCAACACCCCAAACAACACCAACGGCGAAATGAATGAGTTTAAATTTGAACTTCGCGACGCTTGCTAGCTGTCTCACTCATACCTATAGACAGAGCATATCCGTCACGAACGTGCGGCCGTAGGCCCGTTCATATAATGCCTAAAATACCGCCAAAAAACAAAACACAATCGTGTTGGCCTGGGCTGAAAGGGTTATAGAAATTTACTTCTAGTCGCTAGAAAGGCTCCTTACACATTTTCAACTATACGTTTTTCCTATAACCTAAAAATATGTTGATAGTGTCTTCGAATATAATAACATATTGTATATATTATTCTAATTACAAAAATATTTTTTATAACTGTAAATAATTAATAAATGTAGCGTTTATAGCGTTTAGTTTTAATTGTGTATTTACGTTTCAATGTATTATTGATGTTATATTTTTTAAGTATGATAAAAGTTTGCATACAATATTATAAATGTATTTGTTGCTTTGTTTCCAAAATTGCATCTGTGATATAATTTAATCGGTATAAACTTTTTAGAGAGCGAAGTCATTGTTATATTGAAACGCATAAATGTTGTTCATATAAAACATAGCAATCAATTGATAGGATCAAATCAAATCAAATCAAAATAATTAATGATATATTTTTTTAAACACAATCTACCATGGGAGGTGTAAATAAAGACCGCATAATATAAATTAAAACAACGTATGATTGTGTTCAAAAAGAATTGTTTAAAGGAGGATTATTTAGTCATTCTATATAATTTTATAAATATAATAAATAATAATAATAATAATAAATCGAAAATATAAATTCAAATTTTTAGAAATTCCAGATAAGTAAGGTCGAAAATTAACGGAAACTATTGATAAATTACAAAATAGTAGCAGTTTTAAAATATAATAGTTCAGTTTTTATTTTTCAAAATAATCACAAATACTGGCGTGAACTAGCAGCAGCAGGTAGCGAGACATTTCATCTTTGTTCTCAGAGGTGACTACTGCGTTGATTCTTATCCAGTGATAGAGGTAGGAGCCTATGGATCGCCGCATCCATTTACTTTTTTTTGTAAAAAAAAATAGATTTTGGTGTTCTGCCCCTTTTTGTTATGACCTTGTTTCCTCATAATTGTTTTATATGTTTTTCTCTTTCGTAAATAGTGCCGTATGTGCACTAGAACAGAAAAAGCTACTCAAACTTGAAATGTTTAAAACTTGAGCCGTAGTGGCTGGTATGAGGTACAGGGATACAACACTTATAATGTTTTAATTTTTTTATAAAGCTTATTCTTTTATAAGTTTTGTCGGTTGTTAAACTTAATTTTGAGACTGTTATATCATGAGAATGTAATGTAATGAAAATATTACAATTATATTTTTATTACATTTTAAATCTGCCGATTACACAGGATTTGGACATTTGAAGGCAAGTAAAATTATGGATACCACCCAATCCGTGCTCCTCAACAGATGGCGTAAAATGAGTTAGAGAGCCGTATAATATAGATGACAGATAAAAATGAAAAATTTCTGCCGTTGGAACTTCTTTTGTTCGACCATGCCTAAATTTACCGAGATAACGAACTTATTATTAATTTATCTAACACAAAATGTAGTATTTAGATATTCCTTAAATAATTTAGGGACTGGGCGATATAATACGGTGAATTCCACAATTCGGCTGTATAGCTATATATACTAGGAAAAATACTGAAAAATCGGAAAAGGTAGGTTGAAAATCGTCTGCAAGATCGTGCTCTTTAGGACTAGTTTTACATATTATGCACATTTGTGTACGCGTCGTACGCGCCATACGCTTCATACGCACCGAGTTTTATTGATGGACTCGCACATTTGCACGTACGCATCGTCCGCGCCGTACGCAAATCTTTTGTATTACCAACAACTTTTGTAGTTTTCTCCAACCATTGCTGTGAAATGGTACAGTGAAATCACTATGGAAAGAAATATAGTAATAGCCTGCTTATTGGCAGAGAATGAAGAAAATAAAATTCGAAGAAAAAGAAAATTTTGGATTCATAATATGAATTTAAAAAGGCAATTGTATGGAGAATATTATACTTTATTTAAAGACTTATTAGATGATGATGAACGATTTTTTAGATATTTACATTTAACATACAAGAAATTTCAAGAATTGCTACATATACTAAAACCATATCTTTCTATGGAAAACTCAAGATTTAGAAGGCCAATTGAATTAGAGAAAAGACTTGTTGTATGTTTGAGGTAAGTATTTTTGTTGATAATTAAGTAATCAGATATAACCGGGTTTTTGAATCAAAATTGACTATTTCTTATTTTAGTTTAGTATTTAAATAATTTATCACTAAGAAGTATTCATATGTTTTGTTATTGATAATATTGATAATCGATGCAAAAGAATTGTCAAATTATGTATAATTTTTTTAATTAAAAATTACGAATTAATTAAAAGATATAAAAATACAAAAATTATCACGTAAGTTGAAAACCCACTAAGTTGGCAACATTAGACAACTGCACTGAGTATCAGCACGCGCCGAACGTGCCGCGTTATATGGCGTCATCAGCATGCGTCCTTCAATATTCGGATACTTACCGCTTTTCATAAAATTCGGCGCGTGTGGTGCGGGTGTAATGTGCAAGGTTTCATATGATTTTATACACCGAATTCTATAATTCGGCGCGTACGGTGCGGACAAATTGTGCGTTCAGCTTTATGGATTTATGTATTTATTGCGGTAATTAGACAACATTTATGAATTAAATCATATTTTTAGAAAAAATAAGTATTACATTAATCAGTGTTCAAGCACCTAGTTGCCCAGACTAAGGTCTACCCGACAGGGGCCCATACAGCTGTTAGTTTCGACGAACTACTAGGACGGAGCCCAAGTGGCCTTATGGAAAATGTTCTATCCTACTACACTTTAAGGGGAAGGCTAGTCGAATAGAGAGTACTTACCTGCTTTAGAAGCGGAGACTGGTCACCAGGATCGGTCAGGTTGAAGGTGTAGTGCGTGTAAGTGGTGTTAGTGAGTGTGTGTTTAGGTGGCCTGAATCAGATGGCACGATGCTGCCTCGGATGAGGTATTCTCCTGCGGAGTCCCAGGTGGCAACTTCTTTCTTCAAGGCACTAGGTCAGTCTATCCACACTATTGTACATTTAACTAACTTCAAAGAGAGAACTAAACTCCGTTAATCACAGTCACAGACCCAACGCGTGGCGCGACCGACGACAGTGGTACAAAGTTCACCTCCGTTCGCAACGCGGCAAATTAAGCAAAAAAAAAAGCAAATGTCCGTTACGATCGGCAGATTTTTACAATGAATCGCCTCGACGTGTCCCTTCGACACCGCTCGAATGGAATCTGAAATAGGCGCTTCGAGCGTGCGTTAATAATTCAATTTTCAAATGGTTAATATTTTGCCTAAACAATCAGTCTCACTGATTACTATTAATGAGTATCAAAAAAAGGAACATTTTGTTATTAAATATTAACTTTTTTAAGTAGTTAAATCACATTATAGTAATTAAACGTTAAAGTAATCATGAAAATTTAACAAAAATAGTAACAATTATTATCTAATTACATTTTTGGAACATTATTTAAAAAATTAAAATTAAAAAAAAAAAACAGTTACAATGAAATTCTTTAAAGCAAAGTCCTCAAATTACACAAAGATTTTTTTTTTTGCGTTATATTTCAAGCAACGAATTTTTGTGCGGCTTTTACATGTTTCTAATTGGCAAAATCTAGGCGATTTTAGATCATCGAATACCAGCAAATGATCATACCCATCGTACCGTAGTGTTGCCGACGGCATTAGAGCCTTTTTAAATTTCCTCGGTATTATGTTTTCAACTTCCTCCATTCCTTCTGTGCGACGTTTTTCCGGGGAACTCAGCAAGACCTCAGATATCTCAAGGCTTAAAGTCTAATAAATCTAGTGTTTTATTCTGTCTGTAATTATTGAAAGTGCAATCTATTTTGTAAGCGCGCCAAGCGTTCACTAACGCTAAATCATAAAAGTGAATGAGTACTTTTAGTGTCCATTGGTGAGTTGTTATGACTGTTCGTTAGTATTCAACCTGTTGGTCGAGAACATCCACTCCTCCCGTGTATCGGTTATAATTTTGAATTTTTTTGGTGCAGTCACGTCAACATGCGAGTCCGCATAACCCACCTTTTAACCATTTCAGTACAGTTAGATTCAGTGCAGTTAGCAGCTATCAATACAGATTTATTGTCTTTTCACTTTACCAATACTGTACCCTTACCATTTGCTGGCTCTCACCGCGATACATTGACTGTCCTTCTTGAATTTTAAACTAGTCTTGTCTGGTATTCTATGAGAGTTCCTTTGCTGTGTATGTTCAGCTTTTGTAATTATTGGAACGCTTCTTAATAATTGCAAAACTATGGAGGGTCCAAGACCAAGATTACTGTCTCTGAACATTGTCCTAGCACCTCGATAATTGTCAAAGTCTAACATAAGCCGTGGTTGTGGTTTATTTTTAACTTTTCTCAATGGGCATCGACCAGTAAATAGAATCATCTGCTCATTGATAGAGTAGTACCCTGGAACCCTTTCTTGCTTGTAACAACCATTGCAAACTTGAGTTATCGTAGCTTGTACTTTCCACAACGGATTTGACGCCTGTTGAGCAGTAGTGCAGTATCAGTGCTTAATACATGCAGTGTATTTCGCAATTGTTAGAATCGAACACGGCTCAAACGAAATGACACTAGCGTTAAAATCAACGACTTAAAAAATTATCGAATTAAGATTAAGCGTTATCGTGTAATGCTTTTTAAATACATAGGTGTTCGATCATATTGGCGTAGATTTTAGAAGCTAGATTCAGTACTATATTTATTTTTGACATATTTTCGAAGTTGCTATGTGCGCAACTATCACATCATATCATATACACAGCCTTAAATATAGCTTTAGTATCATGAAACATGAGAAATGTGTAATAAATTATTCCATAAATGAATTATTTGTTTGATTTGTGTATATTATGTAATATGATTAAAAGAAATACATATAAAATTGTTTTGATATTTTATTACCCTTCACAGGTAATGCTTAAATAAGCATTACCTGTGGAACGGATGTTTACCTTCTCCCCACATTTTTAAAATGACAACCCAGTTCACTATTAGTGCTCATCTTAAATACCGTTACTATCCAACAATTGTTGACATTATTGTCGAATTATACAGTAAATACGTTTACTACAGTTACAAAATTTTATAAGTAACACTGCTAAATACATGTATATGTAAAGTAGACATGGCACGAGTACTCGGTTTGGATTCGGTACTCGGCGGATACGGCCTTTTTTTAGGGTTCGGCCGAGCACCGAGTATTAACGGCCACGTACCGAGTACTCGGCCTTGATTATATTCCAGAGAGAAATAAAGACAAAAAGCCAGTTTTTATCGTTATTATTATATTA